ATTAGTCTTTTTATCAATTTTGAGTTACAAGTAATTCAGGAATACGTATGTATATACATTGTTAATTTCATAAATTACACTCACAATTTGAGTTATTTTGAATCATTTCTATAAATCGTTCCAATATTGTTAATTTAACTAAAACAATATGCAGTAGAATAATTTAACTTGAGAAAATATTTTTAATTCGATTCAAATTTAGTATATTATTTACAAAGTGTATACGTTAATATGGACGTTGTTTACTTTCAAACTATAAAAATGGAGATTGATTTATATTTTTACAAACATTTAACAGAAATTAAAAATAATGAAATATTATTTAATTCAGGAATTTGATTACTATTGTTCCTTTGATATCTAACAGTATACGAAAGAGAATTCGAATCGATCGAATTTTTTACTGATCCTCTAATCAAAGCAATAATATTTTAAGATATAATAATGTTATAATAATAAATTTTTTTATTAAATACAATAATTAATAAAGATGTAGTGAATAATGCATCTATACCTAAATATAAGCAATGAGAACAAATATTAACTGTCGCAGACAAAAAAAGCAAAATTACAGCTAAATTCTGATTTAATAATTCATCTTAACTGTTCCACATCCGGCATTATAGAAATTTCTCAGTAACGAAACTTCTTTGAAATCTTCTTGATGTTTTAACGATTCGATTAACATTTATATCATGTTTTTAGAAGCTCTAATTTTTCCAGACGTAATCGCGCAGAAGTTGATTATTTCACGAATAATTAAACTTCCTTTTCCTTTTTTTTTCTCATGTTTTCTCACGCATCTCCGAGAAATTCGATACTTCGTATCGCCTCGTCATATCTAAATGCATTTCGTTCGCCGGACGATTGCTGTATCCTTGGCACGAGGAGGAATAATCCCGTGGGATCTGAACGAGTTCGTCGGTGTTTTAAGCTGGAGAAAACTTTCATTCGGTTAACCGCCCGTAAAACTAGTGCTTTGCTTTTCTATCCTCGAGAAAAAAGGATGAACGTAAATTTTTAAAGAACATTCAGCTGTGATTTCAAAATAAACAATGCAAAAGCGAAACAATTGTAATAACCATGATATTTAATTGAAAGGTTTATCCAGTTTAAATTTTGATATTACCTTGATATAATAAAGATTTGTCCAAAACTTAGCTCATAATGCTCTTCTCTCTTGATTTTATTAAAGTATCTAAAAATTCTAGCTAGATACAAATCTGAAATCTGAAAATAATTTTGTTTGAAATTTCAAAATAATTATGTAAGACGATCAAATTGCTAAAAGGTTGCTAAAAGATTAACACTTTTTACAATATTATTCATTATGTTTGAGATTTCTGTTAAATTCTGTTAAATTATTTTAATGATCCAATAAAGTTATTTTCAGATCTGTATCTAATTAATTTTTAGACTGCAGCAAAATTTTTTTTTTGCGTATAGAAAACTAAAAAGGATAGAACAAAGCTCTAATCTCTATTCTTTTCTCTCGCTCAATAAGACGATAGAGAGGAGGAAGTGTTTAATTCACGAATTCTCAATTTTGGACAGGCCTAATATATATGATTACATCGCGAAACTGTATAACGAATAAAATTCAGGGAGGAACGGCACGACATCTTTATACTTTATAGCCGTTACGTTATCGCTTGGAGAACCGAGGACGCTATCGGAGACTCAGAAAAGACGTTCCTCGTGCGCGGCGAATGATTAACGTTTCTCCGACATCGCCTTTAAATTTCTGCGCGCGGAAAAGAATCGGTGAATAAACGATCCGCTCACTTGCTCCTCTCATATCTTTGAACGGCGGCACATCGTTCATCGTGCCGGCAGCTGATATCGGACTATTAGTACTGCCGATGGTACTACTATTAGTCCAACCGATGGAGGCTCGCGTATCCCGGAGATGTTCCCTCTCAAGGAACGGGCGATCCTTTTTCACCAGCCGAGCCGAGAGGCTATCAGCTCGGTCCCACATAAGGCTTGGGACGTGTCTCGAGTTTGCTCGTATTCGAACATGAGGGATCATTAATCGCGCCCCACTGACATGGTTACATGGATTTTAGCTCTTCGATCAAGATCTAATCTCGATATCCTTTCTCGACACGAGCGCATCTATCTCCGCGAGAAAATGACCGGCGTCCTCTTATCGCGTGCATTAAGCGCTCCTTAAATTTTTTCCAATTATATAGCATATATTCTGTTAAAATTTACTGAAAATATCATTGATAAAACCAATATATTTCCCATGGGACTAATAATAACAATACAGGTCTACGAAATCAAGGGTTAAAAGATGTTTGGGTAGGAGTGATACAATTTTGTACGCTGAATCCGAATTACTGAATCAGACTGCGCAATTGGCCTAACACATCAAATTTTTAAAATATTTGGAGTTGTTTTAGTTTTATTAATCACGGGGTAATAATTATGATTGCAACATCGTTGCCTAGCGGAGAGGAAACAAGGCAAAGCGGTCTGGTTGATTAAATATCAGAATTACAGAAATACGCTGAGAGCATTGAGATTCATCGAGAGAATGATGAATGTACGGTTATATTTGACTTAGGCTGTTTGTTCATCTAAACGCTGGCAACCTGGTTCAGTTTACGGCGTGTTCTGATTATTCACGATTACTCAATTGGCCAAATCTTAAACATGTGTGTATAGAGAAGCTGAGCAATGGCATCAAAGCGAGAAATGCACGGTGCGAATGTAACGCGAATATTCGGAGAAGTTCAGCGAACTTCTGTGAGTCATGCCGGATGATAGGATTAATCTTATTTGCGCAGAAATTCTCTGGAAACGATGAAGATCGGGGATTCCCTAATTTTCGAATATATTGAAGAACCAGTGAACTATTACGAATGAACGTTTTTTGCGAATATGTCCGTAAAAATATTTACGCATTTCCTAAGCCATTCGAAAATAAAAAATGTTCAATCTGCTCGTCATAACAAGTAAAAAGTTTTCAATAAGAGTTTTTAATGAGATGTTTAACGAATGATCACTCACGATAACGTTTCTTAAATTGCGTTAAGAAATTTTTAATTTCTTAGACGTTTATAAAAATCTTTACTTGTAACAGTCGAGGAATTTTCTCAGAGCTATTTCGATATCTACAATCGTATACGCGCGTATATAAATTAGAAATATTACGAGACGATTTGATAATCTGGCGTTCGCTGTAGCGGTCTATCTCAAAGTAATAACTTGCGATATACAAGAAGCTAACCAGGTGTTAACCGCAGCGCAGGAAGCGCGCAGAAGGTTGCGAGGAGTCACCGGTCTCGCAGACGCGATCGATTACCCTTCTATGCCAGAGAGCGAGAAGAGTCTGTCGCTTTTTCTCAGCCGGTCGTTGCGCCCGGTATGGATTAATGTAACGTAGGTAATGGCTCATTAACGAGAGCACGTTCCGACGCGTCCGAGTGAGCCATAAGAGCCGCTCTCGACCTTTGGGCTGCTATATAAATCTCGAGCCTGGTTTGCTCGCGCATTCCGCGATACGTCGCTTATACAGGGTGTTCCGGATTTATTGCTCTTTTCGATAAGTTCAAATCCAATTTTTGAAGACATTTGATCGAATGACACCTCTACAGACTCTTAAGTTTCTATTTTTTAGCTGGTTGGTTGCTGCAACAATTTAGATAAATTATGGCCTAGCGTTTTTATATGATTGCAGCAACTAGTTTTTGATTGTAGCAGCAAATTTTTAGTTGCGTTAGTCTATTCGTTATCTATTCGTAATGTCAGTATATGATTTCGATAGGCTAACGCAACTAAAAATACTAAAAATAAAAAATGCTATGCCACAATTTATTATCTAAATTGTTGCAGCAACCAATCTTTTCTTTCAGTGCAGTGTTAGTGTCATTGCTGTTGCATAGATTTTTATAAGGAATTTTTATAAGGAATTTTTATATTAAAGTAAATTTTAAAGCTGTATTTGTTTTGTCAAAATTTATTTTCTACTGCAGGAGAATATTTAAGTAGCTTGGAATAACTATCAACGAATTTAAATATATATGCCAAAGTATTAAATATTCTCTTGCAGTAGAAAATAAATTTTGACAAAACAAATACAGCTTTAAAATTTAGCAACACCAAGATTCCTGATTAAATTAAAATTGTAAAACTGTATCAATGGTTTGATACTTTTGTCGAGAAAAAAAATCGACGATAGCTCAAATCAGTTTGGTAGAAGCATGGTATTATCGGCTCACCCTGTGCACATACACTGGATCGGGGGGTATCGTGCTCGATTTACTCGCTTCAATCATCGAATGCGCGTACTTCCTCGAGTCGCGGGAAAAACGTGGACTTCTGTATATTGCATGTCCGGTAGTAGCGGCTTCATCGGTTATCGGGAGACCGGCGCGTTAATTACTTTCGTGTTTCAGGGTGTGCAAACACGCGGCTGGATACATGCTATTCACCATGGGCGTGTGCAAAACGAGCAGACGCTTCAGTTAGTATCGAAACTACGTTCTCTGCTTTCCTTTTACTTCCGCGGACGGTTATCTTTAACCCTCTTGCGCGTTTCTAGATAATGCTGATAACGTTGAAATATCCAAATGGATACGTATTCAGTGCCATGTGGGTATATTAATATGTAGATTTATGTTTTAAAAACTACACGAATACTCATTAGACCGAATCGAGTTTTCCTCTCTAAAGAAAACGAGCAAAAAAACACGGCAAATTTTTTTTAAATGTGAACTTATTTTATATTATCTATTTTATATAGTTCACATATTGTTTATATTATCAAAAGCAATTTCGAAGCCAAGCAGCCATGGTTATGCGTTTATACCGAGAATTGAGCATCCAAATTCGAATCGCAGACTGGATACGATATTTGACTCGCTGTAAATATTACACACTTCTAACTTATTTACATTATTATTTCTGCGAAATACGATATTATATTGAGAAGGAGTATTCATCTCATTTAGATAGAACACTTAAATTTAGAAATATCGATATATACTCACCGTTATCCCAAGCGGCTTCCTTAGTCCTAAGTAATGCAGCCAATCCAATGTTGTCTTTTGGCATAACACGATTTAACATGTTGTCTGAACCCTCCGCGTTTGCCATTGCCAATTGATTGAATTCAACTAAATGCTCCTTTATTAAAGAAAATCTGCAAAAGAAAATGAAAAGAACAGATGTAAAAAGAAAAATACAATATTGGGCACATACATTTCGATATATTTTGTATAAAATTAAATATGTCCGATAGAAAATAAACTATATTCAAGATCCGAATCGAAAAATATCAGCAGATCAAACAGAAGAGATTATTCGGGGTTAAAATTTCGTCTCTTCTATCGTCGCATCGAAGACTGCAATGTCGATTGGCATTGCGAGTCGATGGGGAAAGGAATTCCTAGCTCTTCTTCAATCGGTCGTCCAAGTCCGGGTAAATGACCGACGGAACTCAATTTTATCTCGTGAAAACGTAGAACTTGACGCTTGCGCGCGCAATACGACTTGAATGGGACGCGACATCACCGTTCTCGGTGTAAAGCGATTTTCGTCAACAAGAGGACTCGTGAGGGAAGCGTACCACGTACGCGATGTAGAATACCCGGACTTCTTTTTCTTTCTCCTTTTCCTGACCAACCTACAGTACAATATGTAAGGCACGTATACTTGAAAAATATATTCTTCTCCGAAGACCTATTATACGAACTATTATTTCCCTCTGCCCGCGGCGAGCTTCTCTTCGCTCGTAAACAAGATTGAATCAACGTCATCTGCAATGTCGCTCAAGAGAGGAGAAAGAGGATTTGTGTGGTAAGGACTGGCCAAAAATAAGAAAGAGGGTTGACGGCGGAAATCCCAAATACGTAATTGACTTTTCCCCGCAATCTGAAACAGCTCTCTGACTCAGTCTCGATTGCTTATTAAAATTGAAAAAATGTTATTTTAATACAAAGATCACGAAGGATTAAGTAAAAATGTTGTATAATTAAAATAATTATAATTTGCTTTTTTCTTTACATACAATAATTATAATTTGTAAAATACATATAGTATAATTATATTTATAATATACACGAAGAGAGAGAGAGAGAGAGAGAGAGAGAGAGAGAAAGAGAGAAAGAACGATTTTGAAACTAGATATAAATCTGAAAATAATTTTGTTTGAACTATTAAAACAACTGTACTGTAGAACACTCAAACTGCTGGTTTGTTAGAATATTGTTAAAACTTTTTGTAGCATTGTCATTAACGCTTAAGTGTTCTGCACAATTATTTTGATGATTTGATTTCAACAAACTTATTCTCAGATCTATATTTAGTTAAATTTTTAGATACTTCAGTAAAATCATTCTTGTCGTATAATTATAATTGCTTATTATATGTAATTTATATAATGCTATCTATATGTAGTTTATATGACTTTTCTTTCACATTCTAAAATGAAATTAGCGCTAGAAAAATGTGTGTCGGTTTGCAGAATTTTACTAGTTGTTACTGCACGAAGCAAATTTTCTTTTCCTCCGATCTTTTTTTTTAAACAGCACTTCGACATCTCGCCGTATAACTTGTGACGAGGCAATAAAGCTGGGAATGATCGAGGGGCGAGAGCCGAAGGCGGAAATTGAACGCGAGTTGAACTTTACGCTCATCGCGTGAACGCTGATTTGGTTCAGTCGATTTAGTCGCGTTGTGCAGCCGGATTGAAATCGACGGCCACGTCTTTGCAAGCCGTAAAACCATAAGCTCCTCTTTTTTCTTTCTCTTTTTCATCTTCGGCCAGTCAAGTCCAATGAGATAGAAAAGAAAAGGAGATAAAGCGGAGAGAAAGTTTCATGCGAACTGCACAGCAGTCTCCTCGTCACAGTAGTACGAATCGTTTTTAGTCAGACGAACGCGGTGATTGTTATTCGATCATGAATTTCGATGTACACAGCATTCGTGATTTTCACGTCAAATTACACAAAGTGTAAACCTTTAAATAACGTTTCATGATAAAATAAAATATTTTAAGAAAAGACACTTTTATTCGAGATACTTTTATTCAAGTTTCGTTGAATAATTTTACTAATTAAACTACAAAACTTTTGTCTTGATATTGTCAAGTTACTTTCGGTTTCGATGTCTTAATAAAATAAAATATCTTTAAAAAGAGACACTTTTATTTAAATTTCGTTGAATAATTTTACTAATTAAAATATGAAATTTTATGCCCATATTTTCTAGTTTACAAGCTTCTCCTAAATCAACTGATGTTTAATATTGCAACGATGCGGTAGTTGAAACGACATAAATGCAGAGCATTTAAGGGATGGGAGGACATGTTCGCCGCCATTGATTGTCACGTAGAGAGACATTTACTTCATCTGTTTACGATGTTGTGTTATAAAGGGAACTGTTATGCGCGACGCATGCATATCGGTGTATTAATCGCGTCTCGATAACTCTGGGGTCGGCATTACAAATGTAATATCGTGGAGATCTTCTATTATGCCGGGAGATATTTTGAAAATAAACATTAATCGAAATAGATATCTCGGGCAGAAGAGCTGCCGGGCGCAATGATTAATGCGTCAATGACAATGTGCACGTGCAGCTGGGACGCTTTCAGTTAGTGGCCATTGCGAAGGCAATTTGTGCGTATCGATGCAGTAACACGCGCGACGATATCGAAATCAGGTTCATTGAAATCGGAAATATGTCGCGTCTGTGCACGACGTGTAGGAGGAAATGAGCACGAAATTGTCACAGATTTTCTTCGCTTTTCCCCGAAAAGAAATTATTCAAGTAATTGTCTGAGAAAATTTTTTTTAGAATCTCCGATAGTTTTAGAATTGTTCTTAAAATCTTAGTGTTATTTAAATTTCGAGCTAATCAAATCTTTCTTTTATTTGTGCTTTCCCAGTCAACATCAACTAGTAATAATATAATATTAGTGTTATGTTATACTTACAATATAAGTATAATATAATTACATAACATTACCTTGTTTAAAATAAATTATAACAATGATATTAAGTTGCTATTTGTGATTACTGGATATTTAATATCATTTTTTCTATTATTATTATTATTATTATTATTATTATTATTATTATTATTATTATTATTATTGTTACTGTTATTTCGCTCTTGGGAGTTTATTTTGAAGATATTGTTCCGTTTCTCTCGAATATTATTTTCATCATGGAGGAGATCCATCGATTTCCAGTTAATTTGTTCGTCGAATACGAGAAAATGCTCGCTCGCGAAAGCGTCGCGTTCGCTTTTCTATTAAACACAGACGGCGATTTACGACACGGCGTTACTATCTGACACGATATTGGATTACATGACGTTATTACACGCCAGACACGCGCGCGACGCTTTGTTAAATTACGAGCGGATGCATCTTTCATCCCGTTCGGAATTAAATGTCGCGCTTTGGAAGGCCTCCATTGTTTTCAGTATCGAAGCGTGGAGAGATAAGCGGCTCTATAATTGATTCCGCAAAGGCGGTAACGATAATCTTTGACAAAATAATTGAATATCGAATATGTGGGATCTTGTGAAAATGGTAACATCGAATAATAAAAAAAATGTGTTTCATCATTGGCTTTTATATCAAAGCAACGAAGCATTTGCGTACCAAGTATTTCATATTCAAATTATCACTTGTCATTTGTATTTCCTTAAAAATAAAATATAAATGCAGAGATAAATTAAACGCGCTGATATAATATATGATAAAAGGCAAAATTATAAATCGGAGTAATAAACGTTTCAAAAATCAATCGACTATTAACATTTTATTGCTTTACTTTTGCCGTAATATATTTACGCGTTGTAATGTTATCGATTTGATCTTTTGAGAAATTTCACGGTGCATTTACTAGTGAAGTATTCGATTGCACGTGATCGATAACTGTATTACATTGGACAACGTTTTCTACTGCATCGTCCTACGTTTATTAATTAAATTACCACGCCTCTTAATAAATCGAAGGATCGCCAGAACGTCTAGACTATCGATAATCATTTTTTCTTTTTTCTCCAGCGAGTCAATTAGAACACTCAGCCTGACAAGAAAATATGTAAAGGGAAATGACAAATTAATGTGATGTCCTCTTACATTATAAGACTGTAAGTAAAAAAAATTCTCTCATGTGTAATGACTTTCAGTGTCTGTAAATTAAATCGATTGTTCGAACAATTATCTGTTAACATTATAGATATTTGTTTTTTAATATTATAATACTATAGACCTTTATATTTGTTTTTATAAAAATGTAGAAAATTAAGAAGTTTGTTGTACAAGAGAAAAGTTTATTAGAAATATCTTAAAAATATAACTGAAGAAGAAAAATAAAACACAAGAATAAATATTTCTACCTTTTGTATGGCAGACTTTGCGATACGTTTATTCTCGGCACGTTAAACTTTCTGACTTCGATGCGAGGAAAAGCTAACGCGATAAATCATAAATTTTTCGATTAATATAAATATCAATCTGTTTCAAGTGACGTTTATGACTGCGTTTCATCGCAATCCATACTAACAGCATCCACCGTTTTCGTCGATCACGTAACGCATTATCGTCGCGACACGAATCGAGAGATACAGGGGAATGCACTTACTTGGCGGTCCTGTAAAAAATGGCGCAGCCGTCGACGTACTTGCGATCGTTCTCCGCCATCGTCTTCGCGCGGGACTTGGGTGAGAATATGCCGTCGTAACCGTCGTGCTTGAGCTCCGGCAGGAAGAAGTTGTAGAATTGGTCCGTCTCGACCTCCTGCAGGCTGATGATGTCCGCAGCGTAGTGCCGTATCTCGTCGAGGATACCCTTTTTTCGATATTCCCAATCCAGCGCCCAGCTCGGGCAATAGCCGTACATCTGCCGCGTCGCATACTTGTCGCACAGCACGTTGTAGCACATCACCGTGAATATACCTGCGACAGTTAACGAAATATATACCTAAATATATGCCCATATATATATATCTGCACATACAAATATATAACGGTAGAAAATCCAGAGAGATCAATTGCTGACATATCTTTACCATTCGGCGGATGAAAGGATAAATTTACCGTATGTATTTCTCCTCCCATACATCTTTCTTTTTCCACGTTCCGGAAATGTTATTCCGTTCGCTTGCAGTTTCGAATGACGTTCTCGACCATCCACAGATTTACATCGCGATGCAAATAATAACGGAGAGCTTTGATTTACTCCTTTACTGGGTCGATGCGCTCGTTTCTTTCGCGATTGACTGATTCCACGGCTTTATACCTCGAGTTCGTAAATCGTTCCATTTTCCTTGAGCTCCCCCGTCTTCCAATTCACCCTGTTTCCACGTGCTATAAATGCGATACATGTTGCACGCTCAGATACGCTCGCGCGCGCGCGGATTCTCACGGCTCGGGATAAGAGGATCAGCATAAAGCGAGCTGTCTTGCCAACGTCGCCCGGCTGTCTGCATAAATTCCCGATGTCTCTCTTCTCTCCGGCGCGCTTTACTTAGTCTCGGCGCGACTCCGCGAGTTATCCGCCGGCGTGCAATATAATACCGTGATTAGAGTAAATGCGCGAGTATGAATCGGACGAACGCATCGAGACGTGCCTTCCCTCGTCATCTGGCGCATTTACAGTTCGAGAAACGGCGGCTGTCTCATTTCCCCTGCATCTCGTTTCATTTCAGATACATTTAACCTGGGAAAGCTTATGCTATCGATTTGGTTTCGTTAACAGGTCAATTTTTCCATTCAAAACACTAATTGCCGAATCTTCTCATTTAATACCCTAGGGATATTGGCAGCGAGGGTGCGATCTCAGGGCGCATCAATGCCCTCGAAGAACACATCTCCCGTCGATACACTAGAACTAATTTGAACGCAACCCAAGCGATGGACGACCGAGCTAAGCCAATAAATCAGCGGTTCTATTACCGCGAATGCGATCGCCGCGGTACAGAGTGGAAAAGGGAGACAGAGAAAGGGAGGAAGAGAGAGAGAGAGAGAGAGAGAGAGAGAGAGAG